TGTCGTATTAGACGGTAAACACGAAATCGTTAAAATGATGATTAGAGAAGTTCATCATCATTTTGGACATGCCAATCACCAGACGGTGATGAATGAGGTGAACGAAAAATTTTATGTCTTGAACCTGCGTAATGTAGTACGAAGTGTGTCATATCATTGTCAGTGGTGCAGGACATACAGATCAAAACCGCAGAACGTGCCACAAGGAAATATTGCTCTGGAGAGAATAGCTCACAATGAACCACCTTTTACATGTTCAGCCGTAGATTATTTCGGACCTATGAGTGTGACTATAGGAAGGCGACACGAAAAACGTTGGGGTGTTTCATTTACGTGTCTGACCATCAGAGCAGTACATCTAGATTACCAGCCTCATTGACACCAGCGTCAATGATAATGGCATTGAGGCGATTTATCGCCAGAAAAGGAAAACCAGCCATTATATACAGCGATAACGGGACAAATTTCAAAGCTGCGAATAAAGAATTATTGAAAGCATGCGAAGAATGCTATGAGGGCATGAAAAATGAGTCATTTAAAAAATATATTAAATGGAAATTTATACCTCCGGGAGCACCGCACATGGGTGGCACCTGAGAGAGGTTAATAAGATCAATTAAAATTGCGTTGACCGCTACGCTCAAAGAAAGGAGGTTCTGCATACGTTGCTTTTGGAAGCAGAGCATACTGTAAATTCCAGACCTCTGGTAACATTCAGTATGGATAGTCCTGAAGAGGGTTTGACACCCAATCATTTTCTTCTGGGACGCTCATGTGGTGGTCGACCCGACCACCTGGATTATTTTTAGAGCAACATATGACGGGTCAACTCAATTGGAAATCTGCACAGAGGTTAGCCGACCATTTTTGGACAAGATGACTAAAAGAATACATGCCCACTTTAATACCTCGAACAGGTAATAACGGAAAGTTTATGGAGCTTAAAGAAGGTGATATTGTCTTGATATTAGATGATTCATTGCCACGAAATACGTGGCCGAAAGGCAAGATTAATAGGACGCTACCGGGACCTGACGGTCACACTAGAGTGGTTGACGTCATTACTAGCACAGGTATCTTGAGGAGACCTACATCCAGAATAATAGTCCTGGTACCCGCGACGCCTCCCAAATGATGGTGCTGATGCACGGGAGGGAGATTGTTGGCGACGCGCCTATAAGTATATTTCAATTTATTAGTTAACCGATTACGAATAGCTTCTAAAAAGCAAATTATCAAGCAACAATATTCCGATAAGAAAATGCTTAGTTGAATCTTAAAGAAATATCAAATTAATGATATGAAGGTATTGGGTTCGACTCCCAGGCCGGAATAGTTTATCGTTTTCTTAGTAATATCTCTTAATAAATTCATATAAGGAATTTTTAAGATATAAATTATGTTACCGGATTTGTTCCCCGGTTGAAATCATCTTTCCAATAATGTTAATTTAAAGAAATATTAAAATAAAGTTAGAGACCAGAATTTGTTTCCCGGTCGTGATGATCGCTGTGCATAAGTAGAATTAATGGAAATTAATTGCATAAGTATTGTCTTATATGAGTTCGATATGTTTTGTATGAAAACAAATACCTATTTTCTATGATTGATTTATGAAAACATTCACCTACATTGTTTGATAAGAAACATGATAACTGATAAGAATCTGATTAGAAATAGTTTTCAACGTTTGAGAATGAGTAGAATCATTTATTCACTTAGTATTGTTGATATTAGTGTATATTTCCATTTTTACTGATAGTCGATAGCCGTACAAAAGTGTTGTTATGTTTAATTTGTTGTAAAATGACTTGTAAAACATTTCAGATTGATTGTACGTGTAAAAGAGGTGAATTCTGTGTTATTTTATGTGAAAATCCCTGTGAATAAGTGAAATAATGATAGTTTTGTATAAGAAATTTAAAAGTGTTTTAATAGTGAAATGTATAGAGAAAATGTAAATTAAACTATTGTATTAGTTAAGATATGTATAATTTCAAGTGGAAAACATTGTTTTAACTTTCTATGTTAAATATTTAAGAAATTCTTTGAACATGTGAGTAATAGCATAAGCATATTTTGTTAAATGAATAAGGGTTTTTTGTGATATGAAAATGTAATGTATATCGTAGTATAGATATTTTTTTGTGCTATCTTTATAAGTAAATTGTATAAATGTATGTCTTATACAAATAAAGTTATTGAGCAAACCGTGAGAGAGTGATAGTACAAATTGATGTAATTGAGTTGCGCAAGCGCACAAATGGCGCGGCTCACTTTCGCGTTTAGCTTCGAGGTAGTTCAGTAAATTGATTTTTTCTTGCAAATCGTTCGGTAAAAGTGCAAGACCAGCAGTCAATAAGAAGAAGAAAGAAAAAGTATAGGGAAGTGATAGGGAAAAGTAATTACTCTCTCACGGAACGGTTTGAAGATAATTGCTGTTTTATTCCCAAGGAATTCTTCCCTTAAAGTGATACAGTCCATATCGAAGAATTAAGGCGTTGGGACCGGGACGACTTCGGAAGACCCGTAATCCCCGCCTGAACTATTTTCTGAAAAGGAAGAGGTAATCGCCCTTGTGAGTTACTCCGTTGCGGAGATCACATACGTTGTTCCCGAACCCAACGTAGGCGTTATAGGAGGCCGGATCGAGAGAACCCTCGATTTCTCCCTTCTGTTTGTACACTACGCCTACCGGTACGAGGTTGCCACTCGAGAACCTTTCTTCCGTATCGGTTATCGGTTCTTCGAGCTACATGGCCGGCCCATTGCCACTTCAGCTTACTAATCCGTTAGGCTATGTCGGTCACTCTGGTTTTACTGCGGATATCCTCATTTCTGAGTCTATCACACAGAGAAACTCCGAGCATAGCCCTCTCCATAGCTCGCTGAGCGACCTTGAGCGTCCTCATACGGCCAGCAGTGAAGGACCACGTCTCTGATCCGTAAGTCATCACTGGCAACACGCACGTGTGGTTACCTTATAACTTTTCTCTGAAAGAATCGGTTCTGATGATTCCTTTTTTATCCGAAGGGTGGTGCTTCCCGTGTAGTCCCATAAACTACACAATAGTTTTTGATTTATCTTTAATAATTCGTATTTAAGTGACTTTGAATTCATTGATTCGGTCGTATTGAAATCGGTTGTACAAAGTCATTTTTTTTGAAAAATATATTTAATTAATCAAAGTATGCACCGTTGTTATCTATGCACTTATGACATCTCATAGAGAGCGAGAATCAATAAACTCTTTGAAGGCAGATTGGACTGCCGCATCGGAGTTGAATTTTTTTCCTTGTAAGAAGTTGTCCAAATTCCGGAAAAAATGGTAATCTGTTGGACCAAGGTGCTAGAGCGATTGACCAATCTTGGTTGTTTAGCAGATAGTTCTTCCCTCATGGTTGCAGTTGCTGACAATAGATATCTGCCGTAATCGTTTGACCAGATTTTAGAAAGCTGTAGTGAACGACACCGGCACTAGTCCCCCAAACATTCATAAGTAACTTTTTCTGAGTCAATTTTCGTTTAGGACAGGATTTGTCAGGGTTTTTAGGGTTCAGATATTGCGACGAGCACTTCGGATTATTGTACAGTATCCACATTTCATTATAAGTAATGATTCGATTTAAAATCCCTTCATTTTTGTGTCTGTTGAGCAAAGTAACACAGTAGTCGACGCGTGTTTGCAAGTTCGATTCACTTAATTCATGAGGTATCTATCGTTCAAGTTTTTTAACTGTCTTGATTTGCTTCAAGGAGATTAATATAGTTTTATCACTTACCCCAAAGCCTGCAACTATCTTTGAAGTGCTTTGTGATGGATCCGCTTCCACAATAGCCTTTAATTCTTCATTTTCCACTTTGGTCTCCGGCCGTCCACGGGTTTGGTTCTGAAGGTCGAAATTTCCAGAACGAAAACTTTGAAACCAAGAACGTACCGTGATTTCTTTTTCTATACTAGTACCGTACACATCATTAATCCTTCGAGTTTCTGCAGCACTGGCGCCACGATAGAACTCGTACTCGTAAATATACCGATATTTCATGTTTTCCATTGTGCCGTAATGAAAAAACTGACTGTTTGTCAAAACTAAAATGCACCAGCTAAATGAATTTATAAATATAAATTTAGAATTATTTACCAAAGAGAAGACATTTCAAATCAAATTGGTCAGTATGACAAAACGCTAATTTCATATGTAAGGACCCAATAATAGGTCTCTTCCTATGACATTACCGGTCTGCAGATCTGGCCATTTCAAATCAAAATAATTTTTATTTGGCTAATGCTCGACACACACGGTCAATTAAACTGATATGTTGAACTAAAGCTAAAATTTTTAACTGACGCCATCCACGGATTTTTCCGGGCGCACGGCCTGTTGATGTGATTTGTTGAACTGACATACATCCAAATACTAACCATGATTGTGAAATCTTAAAATATAAAGCCAATAATTTGGAAAATCGTTTTGGATTCCGTTTGAATTGATCTAATGAACTGATCAGTTGAATTGACCGTGTTGTGTCGGCCATTAGAATAGTAATTTAAAATTAAGTTAATTTTAAAACCATGGAATTATTTATTCATAATTAGTTTTTTTTCCGGATCCGGCGTTACCGTAGCAAGAAGTAGTGTTAATGTGCTCTCGTTTACCTCCAAAATAAATTCAAAAGTTCTTCCCAATTAAGTAAAAGGGATAAGTACAAATATAAAACATATTGAAGTGAACTTATAACTAATAAGCTTAATAAAAACAGAAGAAGAAAAAAATCTACAAGCTGTGTGAACTATATTGATACGTTAGGTCAAGTGATAAGTGTTATACACCACAGACAACGAAACGCAGTGAAATATCTACCAACTAACATCTCTAACAATCAATGCTGACAACATATAGGAATTAGGCTGCGTTCAACGTTTATTACAAAGAGTATATAATCACTACCTTTTAGAGGCGGGACTTAGTAAAAACATTACGTTTTACACTAAACAACTATGGATAACATAGAAATATTCTTTGAACGAATGAAAAATGAAATGGCAAAACAAACAGAAGATATAATTTCAAAACTAGACAAAAAGTTGGCTCCTCTCACACGCGAAGTCGAAGAATTAAGGTTGGAAAACCAAGAACTGGAAGAAAAAATAAAATTAATGGAAAGAAGTTTTCCCAGAGGTTGTGATGGAGGCAAACGAAACAATAATATTATTATATACGGACTCAAAGAAACAGAAAAGACCAAGCTGGAACTAATAGAATTGACAGTCAAAAAATTAGGTACTGATTTAAAAATTTTCCTTGAGAACAACGATATAAATGAGATACGCCGAATCGGCAAAAAAAGTTAACAGCAATGGAAGGGGAAGACCAGTACTTATGTCATTGGTGAATGTCTGGAAAAAGGTAGAAATAATGAGAAACAAGAAGAAATTTAAAAATGTATATGTTTCTGAAGACTATCCTAAAGAAGTTCAAGAAAAAAGGAAATAATTAAGAGGAAAACTGATAGAGGAAAGAAAAAAGGGAAACTTTGCGATAATAGATTATGATAAACTGATCATTAAAGAAAAAATACTAAGCAACGAGAAGCGTAAACGGGATTTATCGACATCACCTGCAAATACACAACAGCCTCGAAAACAGTACGCACCATCAAGGACGAATAGGGCAAATGCTTTCGACATTATGAGAGGAAGAAGTAGTTCCCTTTCCTGTCCTTCTAAACCTAACGAGCAGACGCAATGACATAAAAACATCAGCTGCCGGAACAAAACAACAATTAAACTAAAATTAAATAACAATAACAATGAAGTATTCCCCAAGCCGACTGGTCCTCGTGGGGAATTAGACCACCACCCTTCATTGAAGAATTGCAAGAGTAATAGTAAATATTGTAATAAAAATGGTAATAAACACAAAAAATGTTAGATATGAAAAGAAACAAGTTGAAAACTCCACTTTAAAAATAGGTACATTTAATGTAAGATCCCTTTCATCAATTGAACGATACTTACAACTTACTTATGCACTAGAAAAAATCGATTTCGATATACTGGGTTTATCCGAAGTAAAGAAAACTGGTTACAGCATTGAAGAATATCGAGAGTACATCCTATGTTACATTGGGCAAACAAAAGGCTTACATGGGGTAGGATTCCTGGTAAAGAACAAAACATAAACATATGATATCCAATTTTACAACGATCTCTGAAAGGGTTGCTCTACTGCAATTAGTAACGGAGGAATTTAATATGTCTATAATCCAGGCATATGCACCAATAGAGGCATTGAAAGAAGAAGATATCGAGAATTTTTACAGCGATATGGTAAAAGCACACTCTTTAGCAGACAATATAATAATAATTATGGGTGACTTTAACGCTAAAATAGGGTGGCCCAAGAAAGAAGAATGCTTGTGTATGGGAAACTACGGGTACGGAGAACGTAATGAAAGAGGCGAAAGACTAATAAATTTTGCTCTCGAACACAATTTGTCAATTATGAACACATTCTTCAAGAAAAAAGCCAAAAGAAGATGGACCTGGACGTCACCTAATCAGAAGATCAAAAATGAAATCGATTTTATTTTAACTAATATACCTAACAAGGTAAGAAACATTGAAGTTCTAAACCAAGTCAAATTTGCTTCGGACCACAGATTACTACGAGCAACGTTTCATTTATACCAAACAAAAAAAAGCAGAAAAACATTTCAAACTTCAATAAAAAATCCAACAACAGATTACGAAATTAAAAAATACACTGAAAGCCTTAAATCCAATCTCGAAGACAATATAACTACCACACCTGAGAATGTTCAAATCTTCTATGACTTACTTGAAGAAAATATAATATCCAGTTTAAAGAATAATAAAGACACCCAAAAGACACGATATTCAATACTTAGCGAATAAACAAAACTACTAATTAAAAAACGCACAGAATTAATAAACACAAAGAAGAAAAACAAAGAAAAGAAAATGAACTTACCAAACTCTTCAAACTCACTAATAAATCCATAAAACTCGACTACTTTAAGGATAGAGAAATGATAATAACAAAAAATATAAAAAGTTTTAGAAGCACTAAGACAGCCTTCAAGGAACTAAGTCTTCAAAAGAAATGGATACAAAAATTTGAAAACAATTCTGAAGAGACTAAGTCAAGAAAAGATGTGATAGGCCACGCCACCAAATTTTATAAACAACTATACAAAAAGAAGGAAGACGAAAGTACATTGGAAGAAGAAATTGATAATAAATCTAGAGTAAATATAGTTAAACCAATAAAAGAAGAAGAAATACTCTCGCATATAAAAACACTAAAAATGAAAAAAGTCCAGGGCCCGATGGGTTAACAAACGAAGCCCTTAAATTATGTGCCCCCATCTTACTTGGATACTTAATACACCTCTTTAATATGATATTAAACACAGAAATGGTACCAAAGCAATGGTGTACATCTGACATTATATTAATTTATAAAAAAAGGAAACCCGTTAGATATCGGAAACTACAGACCCTTAAGTCTACTGACAAGTATGTAAAAGCTCTTTACATCTATCATATTAAAACGAATCACAAAAGAAATTGACGCTTCTCAGGCAATAGAACAAGCAGGTTTCCGCTCAGGATTTAGTACAATTAATCACATACACACTGTAGAACAACTAATAGAAAAATTCAATGAATATAATAAATCTCTTTATATCGGTTTTATAGACTACAGCAAAGCCTTTGACAGTATGAACCATGGTTTCATCTGGAATGCATTAGAAACGTCAAATGTAAACGATAAATACATAAACATCATAAAATATATAAAAATAAATAGTACAAGCAGGGTTAAACTTGAAAGGAGAGGTTACCAAATAAAAATAGAAAGAGGAGTCAGGCAAGGCGATCCTTTGTCGCCGAAACTTTTCATCGCAGTGTTGGAAAATATATTTAAAAAGTTAAATTGGACAAAATATGGCATTAATATTAATGGCTGTCGTTTAAATCATCTTAGGTTTGCAGATGACATAGTCATATTTTCAGAAACAGCTAAACAACTTAAGGATATGCTACACTCACTAGACCAAGAAAGTTCAAAAGTAGGTTTGGAAATGAATATAAAGAAGACTAAGATAATGACCAACAGTCACAACGTACCCATCAACGTAAAAGGAAACAATATAGAATACGTAGAAAACTGCATTTACTTGGGGAAACAAATATCCTTCATGAAAACCAACAACGAAGACGAGTAGAAAAAAGAAAAAACTTTGCATGGAGAGAGTTTTGGTCACTAAAAGAAATTTTAAAAGGAAATTACAGTATAAAAATAAAGAGTATTATAATGGACACCTGCCTCTTACCTAGTCTATTATATGGCTGCCAGACTTGGACATATACAAACAAAGTGAGACAGAAAATATATACAACACAGAGAGCAATGGAAAGGAGCATCTTAAATATAAATAAAATACATAAAGTCAAAAACAATATAATAAGACAAAAAACAAAAATAACAGATGCACTCACGCACGCTTTAGGGTTAAAGTGGAAATGGACGGGACACATATCACGATACCAAGATAATAGATAGACAATACAAACCACACGATGGAAGGGACCAGTATCTGGCAAAAGGAAAGTTGGTAGACCACATAAACGGTGGGCTGATGACATAATACCGTATGCAGGAAAAGATTGGATGAGCAAAATTATAAATAGAGAAATTTGGAATCAGATGGAGGAGGCCTTTACTCAGAATGGGATCCATATCTCTGAAAATATACACAGTTAACCGTACAAACAATAACTAATATGAAATAAGCTAATAATACTAACAACAAGTACTAATCAACATGGAAATGTAAAATGTAGAAATGTAGGGATAAGGAATAAAGAGGCTTTATTATTATTATTATTTATTAGTTTTTTGTTTATTGATTAGCGTTATGTCTTCATCTCATTTGAATCTATTTCGTCATCGTGGATACATTAAAAATGCGAATAATTATGGAATATGCGTATCGTTTTGGCAGCAACGCGTCACAAGCGGCACGCCATATCAACAACGTTAACGAAGTAAACGCTACAAACGAATAAAACACCAGTTATTTGTTTGCCCGCTTCTGTTCTGGAAATTTCGGCTAATGGAAAAATGAATCGCGTGGTCATCGAAAAACTATGGTCGACAATGACAAATTGAATACGATTGTGGAAGCTAATAATACTCAATCTACGGTTGGATTAGCAGCAGTTTTTGACGTTAGCATCAAAACAACATTTATCCATTTGCATCAAATTGGTTAGGTTTTTTACCTAAGCATGGAAAATGGGTGTCCCATGAACTCAATAATCGCCAGTGTGAAATGACACGTCCAGACGTGTCTTGCAGTTTTCAATAGCCACATAAACGAAGGAATTATGCCGCATTGACCTGCGGTGAAAAATGGATTCTGTTTGACAATAAAAAGTGCTTAGAAAGTTGGTTGGATGCTGGTTCAGCACATAAAAAATGGCCTAAATTAAAACTTACTCTTAGAAAAGTGATGATCACTGTTCGTTGGTCCAGCACTGGTATGGTTCATCAGAATTTCTTACCAAACGGCATTACATTACTACAGATATAAGCAATGATGGAGAAGCCAGCACGTATACAACCAGCTTTGGTCAATCGCTCGTCCCCGCTGCTCTTGTCGACAACGCGCGAGCTTATACTGCATAACAAACGGTCTCCAAGTTAGGGTAGCTATATAGGTAGCTGGGGTTGGAAGGTCATTCATCGTACTCACCAGACCTTATGCCTACATACTTCTACTTTTCCTAGATTTTGGATAAATTTTGGGAAGGAAAAAATTTAATACCCGAGAGAAAATACAAATTGACTGAATAATTAACTGCCTCCCGTTTAGTTGATTTCTTAAATAAGAGCATCAATGAACCACTACTGCGATGGCAAAGATGCATTGAGTAAATACTTTTATATATATATATATATATATATATATATATATATATATATATATATATATATATATATATTATATTGTTTCTGTCATTTAATAGAAAAGGAAGAGAAAATACGTTAACTTATTTCATAATAAATGGTGATTAAATAGGTAGAAGCTGTTCGTCATTTATCGTACTCACCAGACCTTATGCCTACATACTTCTACTTTTCCTAGATTTTAGATAAATTTTGGGAAGGAAAAAATTTAATACCCGAGAGGAAATACAAATTGACTGAATAATTGACTGCCTCCCGTTTAGTTGATTTCTTAAATAAGAGCATCAATAAACCACTACTGCGATGGCAAAGATGCATCGATTGCATGAGTAAATACTTTTTATATATA